GTGCGCACTTAACCGCAGCATCACTGGGCCGACACCTACAAAATGTATTATTATCCATATAATATTATTTAGAGAACTCTTAAAATATATGATAAATATCATAATCTGAACAAGAAAATTTTTTTACTTTATAACACAATAAAATGTTTACATTAAGTACATCATTATCTAATCATTAATAATCTACAATAATTATTGGAAAAATTTTATACATTATTATTTTTATTTATATCTCAAAAAAGTTTACAGGTTGCATATATAATTATCATTGTCACAGTGCGTTGGTGCTGGTCATAGACTCTTTAACCTCTGTGGATTTAAAGTAACGAAAACAGCTTCAGGTAATGTCTGTACACGCTATTCCCTAAAATAATGACATATATATATAGCACATAAATTGGGAATGCATTTTGCTGGGACTATTCTATATAGAGACAGCAGTTATGTAACCTGGATGACATGTAAACATCAGCCTATAGACGTAGGACATACACTTTTACAACCAAGGATTCCACTTCGTGGTGCATATGGTGCATTAAACAGTTTTAAATAAGGGAGAATTTTGTCGTCAGAGCAATTGGTCTATGTGAATGTTTCCCAAACTGTATATTCAAATCACGTTACCTTCAGTTCTGCTGTAATGTGATATACGTAATCTAAAGATCAGTGTGCTATGCAAAGTCATGCAAAACAACAACAACTAGGGCTTACGGGAAAAAATGCGTTTAGACATACAACACTCAAACTTCGTCAAGTGACACATTTTTAAAAAAAGATAGAAACCTAATAAAAACAGTAGAAGAGTTTTACACATATTTAATAGTTAAAAATACTTAAACCTACAACAAGTATGGCTGCTTAGCTAGAAAAAGACCTGCGCGCCGTTTGCTTGAGGAGGTGAGCCGCAGAAGGGGTGCAGCTTGTGAGCTATTCAGAAGTGGTAGAGGGAGGGTTATCTGAAATCTCACAAGAAGTTCTAACACCAGATGTGGAGAGTCATGCTTCAAAACACATGCAGGGATCTGAGGCAGCTGGTAAAGGAAGTGTGTCTGTTCTGTGCACCCTCAGGTGTCTCAGTTCAGCTGGGTGCAGTTTTCCAAATTCACTTATTGCTTCTGTAAGAATTGTGCAAAAACAAACACAAAATTTGCATTATGCTCAAAATGCTCCCTGATGTATCAATCAAATTTGGAGCAAATCTGCATTTTCAAAACAAGCATCAGAGCAGAACTGAGTGTAGTAGGTACTTGCAAAACACAAGTGGGAGAAGGTAGATTGTTTACTCAAATAAGTCTAGGAAATAAGTGGATTAAGCGATACTGAATTGTTTTCTAGTAAGAAATTTCAGGAACTTTATATGGTAATGTAAACTCTGAAACTTCCAGAAGGCAGTGACTTTGCAATATTTTCCAAAGTTATTTGACCTTGGAACTTTCCCTTTTATTCTGTAGAAGAAAAAACATTAACATCTCATAAAAATATTATTCCATGCAAAACAGTTTGATAAACGCTTCTTTTTAGTAATGTTTCATATTTATTGTTATAAAATGTAAAGCAAGGATTTTGCTCATAAGAGAAATATATTATGATCTAACTCAATTTTGTGTGTATTAAAAAAAGAAATCTGCAATAAATTTTCAACAGTACCATTAACATGTCTCACATTGCTGGTTGTGTTTCTTCTAGCTCATAGTGAACTAAATTATGACAGACAATTAAAATGCTTCCTTGGAGATGACAAAATGTCACCTTTTCAGCGTGATTAACCACACAATCAAGCTTTTATAAATCTACACCAAATAATTAAATTTGAGATTTTAAATGTATATGGTTTTCTGGGATTTCGGTATGACTATAACGTCTATAAATAAAATTCCTTTTTCGCAAAAAAGCTAAAAGAAAAGGAGTTCTGTTTTCAATTACTAATTCTACCTATTATATAATTATTTCATATAATATACCTATTAATAAGTTTTACAAAACAAGGATGATTGTGCATTCACAAATATAGGGAAGAGCATTCCAACAGAGAGAATAGTGTAAACTCACGGGAAAATCTCTAGTCTGCATGGGGTATGGTATGCAAGTTTGACTGCAATGAAGTTTCCGTGAAAGAGAACAGTGTGAAGCGAGTTTGGTAAGGAGAAATAGGAGTCAGACACACTGGTAGGAGTGAAGGTATTTTACAAGTGATTGCATGTAGGGATTTTTGAGAAAGATGGACAAGTCAAAGATACTCTGAATGTTAAGTTTAAGCAAATGGAACAATTATGCCACAAGAGAAGTAGGGAGGAGCACAAAGTCAAGAGTTGACTCAGGAAAATTATAGAGTTGACTATCTGATGCTTAAACAAGCCAAGACATTTCTTCGCTATTGTTTATTTCTTAGGTAATTCACTACACACACAAGTCCAAAACAGGGAAAAGAAAGGATTTGCACATATTACAGGTTTTCTGCTTGTAAATAGCTCCATTAAAAAGTTTGAAATCAAGGTAATTAATGTTAGCTGCTCTGATAGATGAACACCAATATTTCAGCAGCTTAACCCAGTAATATATGATGCTTGCTCACACCACAGTTCAGTGTAGTTGGTGGGCTACGGGGTGGAGGGAGCTGGACATGTGAGTTCTGTTCTGTGCAGTTGTTCAGGCTCCTTTCACAATATGGCTCTGCCATCGATAACATGAGTCTTCAAAGACTAATAGGAGAGAAAACATGTAGAATCGTGAGGGAGAGAACATAATGCACATCACTTCCACCCACATTCCATTAGCTAGAATTCAGTCCTAAGGCCCCACCCAATTCCAGAGATGGACAGAAGAAGTAAATTTAGCTCAATGCTCAGGAATAATACTCAGCATTGTCTCTGTCACCAAATAATAAATAATTGAGGACTTTAACCCTGAAATACTTCTCTTTTATTGTCCCTGTTATTAGTAGCCACAAACTATACAGAGAGCTAAAACCAAAAATAGTCCTGGCAAGAAAAAGATGCTATATACACTTTCATAACCTGAAGTTTAATTGATTTGAAAAGTAACTTTGCCGCAATCTTCCAAACGTAGCTTAAGTAAAACATTCAGAAACTGATAAATAACTAGCATCCGCTTGTCTTGGCTTGAACAAGTAAAGTTGCCAAGATACATGTGGATTTAATTTACAAAGCCTTCTGTTGTGGAGGTAGATTGGTTGCCTTAAAAAAGACAAACAAAACTGAGTTCCCATTTCTCCACATCTTCACCAACACTTGTTATCTTTGTTGTTGTTTTGCTTCATAATACTCATCCTAACAGGAGTGAGGTGATATCTCATTGTGGCTTTGATCTGCATTTCCCTGATGATTAGTGATTCTGGACCCCTCTTCTTGTCCCTGGTGGCCACGCGTATGTCTTCTTTGGAGAAATGTCTATTCAAGTCCTTTTCCCATTTTTAAATCAGATTTGTTTGGTTTTGTTTGCTATTCAGTTGTAGGAGATGCTTACATATTTTAGATATTAACCTCTTATCAGATTGATGGTTTGCAAATATTTTCTCCCATTCTGCAGGTTGCTTTTTTACTCTGTTGGTTATTTCCTTTGCTGTTCAGAAGCTTTTTAGTTTGATGTAATCTCACTTGTCTATTTTTGGTTTTGTTGCCTGTGATTTTGTTGTCAAATCCAAGAAATCACTGCCAAGACCACTGTCAAGGAATTGTTGCCTGATGGGTATAAAGCTTCAGTTTCACAGATGAATAAGTTCTAGAGATCTATTGTACAACATAGTGCCCATAGTTAACAATATGGTATTTGCACTTTAAAATACGTTAAGAGGATAGATCTTATGTTAAATATTCTGACCACAAAAAAAAGAAAACAAAACAAAAAAGAACACAAATGGGGGCAGGTCCGGTGCCGTAGCAGTGAAGTTCACGTGCTCTGCTCCAGGAGCCCCGGGTTCACGGGTTCATGCTTATCAAGCCATCGGGTGGCAGGCATCCCACATATGAAGTAGAGGAAGATGGGCACGGATGGTAGCTCAGGGGGATTCTTCCTCAGCAAAAAGAGGAAGACTTGGCAGTGGATGTTAGCTCAGGGCTAATCTTCCTCAAAACAAAACCAAAAACAAAACAACACACAAATTTTTGAAGGTGATGAATATGTTTAGCACCTTGATTGTGATGATGGTATATGCATACGCCCAAACTCATTAAAATGTATGCATCAAATAAGTAGATCTTTTGTATATCAATTATATCTCAATAAAGGTTAACAAACTGAGTGCTGTCTAATTATTCATCTTTTTCTTTCTGAGTTCAGAGTAAATATAGTTTACATTAATGCTATATGGTTTTTAAACATTGTGAATGAAAATAAAACTTTTCCAGCTATGATAACAGAATCTGCAAGGGAGAAATATCAGATATTATCACGTAAGGAATGAGCCCCTTCTTGAACCCTGTGAGAAATTGTAGCTACTCACATAGAGCTCCCATCCATAGCCTAGTCTACCTCTTTTACCAAATATTCTCCCCGGGTTTCAGGTATTTTAAATTGAAGCATTACTGCCTGGATTCTTAATTCAAAGAAATCGAAAGGATAAATAAATTCAATATCCTGGCCAAAAAGGTAGTGAATCTGTTTCAAGAACACACACACACACACACACACATACATACACACGTGTCTCTCTTTTAAGCAGGAATAAACCTGGATGCCTCAAGATGGCTCATTGTGATATCAAAAAATGTCCTCTCCGGACCAAGTTTTTTCCTTGAAAACTTGAAAAGGGAAATTCAGTCTCTCTCATTCTGCTTGCTTCCCGATTCCACAGCTTCTGCATCTGAATCAGTGTTGCCCTGCAATTTGTATCTCTGGAACATCCTCCTTGTCTCGCAGACTTCCACTGCGCTTTGATTGGTCAGAAGGAAGCAGAGGAGGAGCCACTCTGAACATTTTTTTTCCTCCACACACCATAAAATCAGCAGCAGCTACTAACACTCAAAGCAATGCTTCAGGCTGGGAACTAACACCTCTGAGAGGCAGCTGATGTGAGCATGTGCAGACAGATTCGTCTCCCAATGGCACAGCAGCTCCTAGGAAAATTAATTTGAAAAGACCTGAATGCATGAGACCAAAGTTAAAGTAGAAGAGAGAACAAAAAAGCAAAGAGCAGACTCTTTCGACTGAGAATGAGCATTTTGAAGCCTAAGATTTTAAAGTGCTGGTGATCAGAACAACACCTGAAAGAGACTAAGAACTCCATTTCGAGCTTCACAGCATGTGACATGTGCTCACCACAGGCATGCCAATTTTAGCCTCATAACTTTCAGCCAGATACAGACGTGGAGAAAATCACTGTGGCTACCTGACCCAGGAGGCTGAATCAGCTCAGAAGGGATTTGAATCCACTTGGCACAGGATGGACTCTACTCACCGCCATGGAATGCACACTTCTCTCCACTTCTGGAACCGCAGCACCTACGGACTGCACAGCAATGCCAGTGAGTCCCTTGGAAAAGGCTACTCTGATGGAGGGTGCTACGAGCAACTTTTTGTCTCTCCTGAGGTGTTTGTGACTCTGGGTGTCATCAGCTTGTTGGAGAATATTCTGGTGATTGTGGCAATAGCCAAGAACAAGAATCTGCATTCACCCATGTACTTTTTCATCTGTAGCCTGGCTGTGGCTGACATGTTGGTGAGCGTTTCAAATGGATCAGAAACCATTGTCATCACCCTGTTAAACAGTACAGATACGGACGCACAGAGTTTCACGGTGAATATTGATAATGTCATTGACTCAGTGATCTGTAGCTCCTTACTTGCATCAATTTGCAGCCTGCTTTCAATTGCAGTGGACAGGTATTTTACTATCTTTTATGCTCTCCAGTATCATAACATTATGACGGTTAAGCGGGTCGGGATCATCATAAGTTGCATCTGGGCAGCTTGCACGGTTTCGGGCATTTTGTTCATCATTTACTCAGATAGTAGTGCTGTCATCATCTGCCTCATCACCATGTTCTTCACCATGCTGGCTCTCATGGCTTCTCTCTATGTCCACATGTTCCTCATGGCCAGACTTCACATTAAGAGGATCGCTGTCCTCCCAGGCACTGGCACCATCCGCCAAGGTGCCAACATGAAGGGGGCGATCACCTTGACCATATTGATTGGAGTCTTTGTGGTCTGCTGGGCCCCATTCTTCCTCCACTTAATATTCTACATCTCTTGTCCCCAGAATCCATACTGTGTGTGCTTCATGTCTCACTTTAACTTGTATCTCATACTGATCATGTGTAATTCCATCATCGATCCTCTGATCTATGCACTCCGGAGCCAAGAACTGAGGAAAACCTTCAAAGAGATCATCTGTTGCTACCCTCTGGGAGGCCTTTGTGATTTGTCTAGCAGATACTAAATGGGGACAGAGGAGATGCTAAAAACATGCATAAGAGACTCTTTCATTCTTATACAACCTGAACAGCGTGCATCAGCAACAGCTTTTCCTTCTGTGTAGGGCACTCGTTGAGAACATCTATTGCATAAATTTAAGTTTATGATATGAAAAAATGCCCAGTGTCTGTATGTTTTTAATGTCATGCTACTTTTTGCCTGTAAAATGTTAATCCCTGTTATAGGTTATAGGCACTATGGATTTACAAAAAAGAAAAAGGTCTTTATTAAAAGCTCAACAATGTCTCTTTCTTGTTATTCATAAAGATTTGACACTTTGCTTGTTTTAGTAACATGGAAATCACAGCCTCATTAAATATATTCTAATAAACGGTTTCTTACATTACAGTACAGAACATTAAAGTGTAAGCACTTGATTCTAGCATTTAAGGGGGAAATTTTGAAGAACAGATGCTTAATCTTTAAGAAAATCAGCTGAAATTTCAAGTGATTTAATAAAACTTGTTCATTCTCCCTGTGCAGAAGTAGAAATGAAGCTCCTGTTGAAAGAAAAATAGCTACTGGGAAAAAGGTGGATTTTGAGTCAGAAAACTCTATGTGTTTCTCAAAGACAGACAGATTAATTTGCCCAAGCAAACAGTCTGATATTCCATGCAGGCAGTTCAGTTTCGGGTTACAGAATAGCAGCTAGGGGGACTAAAGTGCTCTGGAGAACCTAAGTCAACATGGCAAGCTAAACTTCCTGATACCCAACTGTTTCCAGCCATCATTAATAAAAACAGAGAGTAAGGTCTTTCTGCCCCTTTAACCAGGGACCAGCATCTGCTGAAGTGTCCAGAAACAGTGGTGCTGCTCTGTGAGATCCAGCTTCCACTCTCTAAAGAACCACACGCTCAGTAATCAGCTCCTTCATTTTCCACGTGCAAGTGATTGCTGTTTACTTATTGCTTATTTTTTGAACTGGAGTTGAAGGATTCATTATCAAGGATTTTAACTTTAAAAACCAAATCTATAGCACAAATATTTTTAGGCAATATTTGTAAATATCTAAAATAAGGGAAGCTCTGATGCTGGTACATTATAAGCAGGAAGGAAGGACGTACTGAACCCCAGAGGATGTCATGACACAAATGAGCCTTCCACAGCCACATTTTGGACAGTAAATACTTGTTTTGCTGCAAAACAATCCCATAGATTTGGCTACTGAGCAAGAAAATCTGTACTTTCCAATTTGTGTGTATTTAAAATTAAGAGAGAAAATATATTAGGCTGAGGATTACCAGTAAACTAACCTTTGATTTAATTTATAGTGTCTTCAGATGCTTATGGGCAGAAATAACATATGAAGGTACTTAATTCAAATCTAAATATATTACATATTGAGAACAAGTCCTGGGAAACCATTCATCATTTGTGTGGAAACATTACATTAAAGTCTAAGGGCAAAGTTAAAGTTTACAAATGAAAGGTGGTACTGAAGCCTGATTCACTGCAATTCTTCTATTTTTACGCAAAAATAAGTGAGGATTTAAATATAGACTAATCTAACAGTCAAAGCCGAAAGCTGCAGCAGAACACAGATGGTACTTTTGTGTTTGTTATCATTCCCATCCATTCTTTGACGTAGTGATTGTGAGAAATCCCAGGGACTGGAGATACAGAAAAGAGAGCTTTTAGCATGCCCCATCTTCTGTAGTGGCTGTCCTTCCAGTCTATTCTATTTCTCCCTCAAGTGTCATCTCGGATGCTGCCTCATCCATTCAGAATCAGCCCGCTTCTCCCACTGGAAAGAAATTCGGCTCCTTAGTCTTCACGTTCACACCTCCTCCTGGAGCGGTTTACTGTGTTAGGGTGAGTGTTAGTCACGAAGATTCCCTGCCCCGCCAGCCTCCCCACACGCCCAGGGCACAGCATTAAGCTTCAGTTTTTTTAAGTGCTAAGACCATGTTTTACTCATTTTTCCTGTTCTCCAAACATTCCTCTATGATGTTACTTCTATCTTTCTCCAGTGAAAAGAATTCTCCTATGGGGACGCATCATGATCGCCCAAAGCCCGTAGTTTACACTAAAGTTCACTTGTGGAATTGTACATTCTATGTGTTTTGACAGTATCCACCATTATAGTATCAGACAGAATAGTTTCACTGCCTTAAAAACTCTCTGTGCTCTGCCTATTCATCTCTCCTTCCTCCTAACCTGCAGCAACCACTGATCCTTTTACTGTCTCCATAGTTTTGCCTTTTCCAGAATGTCATATACTTGGAATCATACAGTAAATGACCTTCTTGGATTGGCTTCCTTCACTTAGTGATATGTGTTTAAGATTCCTCCATGACTTTTCATGGCTCAATAGCTCATTTCTTTTCAGTGCTGAATAATATTCCATTGTATGGAGGTATCACAATTTATTTATCCATTCACTTGCCGAAGAACATCTTGGTTGCTTCCAAATTTTGGCAGTTATGAATAAAGCTGCTATAAGCATTTTTGTTTAGGCATGTTTCCAGCTCATACCAAGGAAAGGGAATTAACTTTAAAAATTTCGGTATAGGGGCTGGCCCCATGGCCGAGTGGTTAAGTTCGCGCGCTCCACTGCAAGCAGCCCAGTGTTTCGTTGGTTCGAATCCTGGGCGCGGACATGGCACTGCTCATCAAACCATGCTGAGGCAGCGTCCCACATGCCACAACTAGAAGGACCCACAACGAAGAATATACAACTATGTACTGGGGGCCTTTGGGGAGAAAAAGGAAAAAATAAAATCTTTAAAAAAAAAGAAAAATTTCGGTATAAATACTGTGATGTGCACGTCTACCCTTTCATACTTTGTTAAGGATGGTTAATTAGTATTTGAATCATGCTGGTCAGAAGTATCCACTCCAGATGGGACTCGTAAGCAGCATCAGATACCTTCACTGAAATGTTCACCACAAAGTTCAATTAATAAGTATAAAATATATTAGAAATGATTTTTATTGGTGAAATGAGGGATTTTTAAGACTTGATGTTGACTTAAAAATTTGTATAGCAATTGCCATAACTTACGCGAAGAAAGGGCAAGATTTCTGTCCATTTAGCAGGTGGCCTAACACTTAGACTCTGTGCCCAAAGCTCCAAACTAAATATTTTGAAATTACTAAGAAAATTTTTTGAAGAATTATTTAATAACAAGTAAATTTACATGTTAAAAGAATTATTCAATAGCACTGACTTCTGTTTTATGTTATAAGGAATTCACAAAACAAAACATTTCGTATGATACCAACTATCTAAAGAAAGTAGCACCAATCTACTTATGTCCCTCCTACATATTACTTTCCATAACTCGTGAACAATCAGTAGTCTTTATCCCTGGGTGATAATATTAAGGAACACGTTCACTATTTTTAGAGTGTGTTTGTATTATGTAAATTTACTACAATGAACGTATTTTAAGGTTTTAATTTTTAAAAAGCACACATAAGCATTACAAACAAAAAAGATGGTTGATGGAAATGCAGTTGTCAAATTACCAGTGATCTGTGCAGGAAGAGTAGATGTAAAAGAAGTCAGTTTGGAACCAGAACAGATCTTAGCTATCATGTCACCCAATCCTGTAAGTAAACTCAGACCGCCTAATTCACATCCATTACCAGAGGCAGCATCAAAACCTGAGACCCAGCTCCTGGCTCCTCATCCAGGTTTGCCTGTACCAAATGTCCAGCACCTTCTTTTGTAGAAAGCGCAGCTTTCCCAGTCATGAAGAACTAGGACTGAATTCTGGTTACACCACTTCCTAGCTGTGAGATTGTGTTGAAGTTAGTTTTCTCATCATGAAATATACATCATAATTCCTGGGAATCTTAAAAAGATAAAAGGCAATTATAAGATCAAGGATATAAATTTCCACAAAATGGAAACCAGTACATATAGGCCCTCAAAAAGGGTAATTACTATTATTTTTAAAAATACAAAGTAAATGAATACACTCATGTATGAATGAAGACTTACTAGTTTTGCTTCTTTGTCAGCCTCTTAACGTTATTAATAAACATATCTAGGCCTTGGGCTTAATTATATATCTTTCCTTAAATCACATTTAATAATTTCCTTGAATTTGACTGATTTTTTTGTATAAACGGATATATTTGAACATAGTAGACACACAGGCATACCTGTTTTCTATAAGGATAAATTTTTACCAGCAATAATGCTAATTGTTGGGGCTGGCCCCGTGGCCGAGTGGTTAAGTTCGCGCGCTCCGCTGCAGGCGGCCCAGTGTTTCGTCGGTTCGAATCCTGGGCGCGGACATGGCACTGCTCGTCAGACCACGCTGAGGCAGCGTCCCACATGCCACAACTAGAGGAACCCACAACGAAGAATACACAACTATGTACCGGGGGCTTTGGGGAGAAAAAGTAAAAAAAAAATAAAATCTTTAAAAAAAAAAAATACGGATATTTTAAAAAAAATAAATAAATAATAATGCTAATTGTTTTAAAATTTGCAGTTCCACATTCAGGACTACAAAAGGCTAATTAGATCATGTGCCAAACATGAAATAACCAATTAGCCCATTTCTTCAAAAGTTAATTGATATTCATTAAACTTTATGCCATAAATTCAAGTGCTAGTACAAAAAAAATGCGTTATCTAAGATGAGGTCACTGATGTAAACCCTTGAAAAAGACCATAAATTATGAATTTATAGTCACATCTTGAAACTCAGTTATGAGACCATCACATATTGATCAAAGCTATGTGCATGACAGTAGAAAGGGCAAAGGGTTTGGACTAAGGGAATATTGGATTCAAATCTCTGATCTATTGACCAGCTCTAGAATTTAGGGCAAGTTACTTAACGATCCTAAGCATCTATAGTCTAACCTTTGGAATGAAGACAATAATATCCATCATCTCATAATGTGATTAATGATAAATATTAGATAATGTAAAATTAGATAATTTACAGGATCTAGTATAGTGCTCATCAACAGAGGTATCTAGTATTATAAGAATCAATCAAATTGCAGTCAAAAGGTTATCAGAGCTTCCAGCCTAGAAAAGATTAAATGATAATAGGGACTTGAATAGCCTCACTTCCCTAGCATGGAGAGACAAATCCTTTCAAATCTGTTTTCAGTATTTCTTTCCAGCAAGTAAAAATAAATTCCTATGCTTAGTATTTTAAATATAAAGAAATTTTGAACATAACAAGAGAATTCAAGGGAGGTAGTATGTGAAATTGGGTAGGAAGACAGACTGTTTCAATGGCATCTGGAATGTTGTAATACTTGTGTTGAATAAAGGGTGTAATGTATTCTTTAAAATTATCCTTAACAAGTTAGAAATGTATGACATGTA